GTAATTGTGGAACTCGGACGGTTAATTTACCGTAATTGTGGAATTCGAGCGGTTTATTTACCGTAATTGTGGCACTCGGGCTGTTCATTTACCGTATATGTGGAACTCGGGCGGTTAATTTACCATAATTGTGGCACTCGGGCTGTTCATTTACCGTATATGTGGAACTAGGGCGGTTAATTTACCATAATTGTGGAACTCGGGCGGTTTATTTACCGTATATGTGGAACTCTATCGGTATATTTACCGTAATTGTGGAACTCGGGCGGTTAATTTACCGTATATGTGGAACTTGGGCAGTTTATTTACCGTAATTGTGGAACTATGTATAGTAGCGAGAGAATATATAATTTCGAGTCAGAAGCTATATGAATATACGTGAAAGAAGTCCTGTTTGGAATCGAGCAAACGTAAGTGTAACAAAAAGAGTAAACTCAATGTTTTATACGATCGACAACTAAATACACGGAGACGATATCAGAACTAAATGACAATTTTCGTTTACATTTGCTATTAAAACGAACTATAGCTCCCACCATAACGACTTTAACTTAATCACATATCATTAAGTTCAACAAATATTTGAGAAAAATGCCATCTTTATATAGCCAAATTACGGATAAACGCTATGTAACATTCAATTTCAAAATTTTAAATTTATTTTTCAATTTTTATTTATCTTTACGCAAAAGCAAAAGAACGTGATTTCAAGCAACGAATATCAATAAACTAATACCAGGCAAATCATATCTTCTACGCTACGATTTTTAATTAATTGCATTCTAAAAGCAGTTAAATGGCATTTTCTAGGCACTTTGCGATTAAACAGAAACGCGGCATCCAGCATTCGTATGTTGAGGTACGCGTTAAACATATTCAAATTCAAATGTTCTGTTTAAAAATACGCAAGAACTTTCTCGTCAACCCAATATACGTGATATTTATTCATTAGCACTATCATTTGCACAAGACTAACAAGAGACCTTTGAAATTATGAAATTAATATCGGAAATCGGAAATCGGCATATTTTGCTTGTGCGCTGTCGTCACTTAGCTAGACCTTGATTGCAATTATAATATAATAGTAGCAGCCAAGTATAGACAGAAACGATAATGATAAATAATAACGAAAACAACCGCATAAAATAAGAAAATCAATTAGATCCTTGAATAAGAAAAAAAAATCAAAATGAATTCATTGGATTAAAAGTAGTAAGATTATCCTAACGTCTAGTTCGCGCAGTAAACATAAACACATCAATAATTAAATTAAATATTCGTGTTCTTCTTTTTTGTCTTAGCTTTTTAGCAATTGAGTTCAGAAGAGCGAAATATTGCATTCATTAAGTCAAAGGTCGTTGACATAGGGACGTGCGATAACATCACTTTACGACCTTCGAGTATAAGTTGATGTGTTTAAATAAATTAATTAATCTCATTTATGAATCAATTTGATTTAAAGAAGACCCATTTATATACGTTTATGTTTAATCAAACACTCTCCTCGGATCAAAGTGTCCATCCGATCAGTTAATATGTAGAAATTGAGAAGTTCCCAAGCGAAAAGCAATCATAAGGTCTGCGGAGACTTTTCAATACGACCTTTTGGAGGCATTTCCCGAGCGATTGGTCACGCAGTGAAAAAAAAAAAATAATAAAAATAAAAACTAATATATATTTATAGAGAATCCGATGAAGATGATGAAAAGAATCGCTATGGAGAATGGTGAAATCACTAACAGAGAATTCGGCTGTGTGTGACAGCGAAGTTTCTTCGGGTTTTGCTAACTGTGACCAAAAGAACTGTCGAGTAAGTATCGCTCAGGAGTTGTGGATTGACATCAAAGACTATCGAGATTTGCTCGAAAGGGTCATAACTGATGACGATACAAGGCTAAAAAGCGCATATCAGAGCTGCTCCCAGGATTGAAGAAGCGCTGGCAAAATTTGTATATATTATATCTGAAGGGAACCCAATAATTATTAGTGAATAAATACAAATTTTTGAAGAAAAGTAAAAAGTCATTTTTTCTTTTTTTAAACATACATCGTATTTTGGATCAATGCGCCTAACCCTGGTTTAGCGTCTCTGGATAAATTATTTACACCGGCTTGCGCTCTCATAATATATATAAATATATCTTAATAAAAAGGAAGAAATAAATAAAAACAAAAAGAAATTTAGCGGACAATGATTATTTATTGACAAAAACATTGAACAATTGATATTGATGTTGCCGCGAATTTTAAAAATTTTATTCAAAAGTATTTATAGCTTTTTAATGTAGCGGACTTTTGGCTAAGCAAAGCTTTCCTATAAGCATTTAAAACAGTAGCTAGCTTTTCGAAAAGTTACGATTATATATGTAAAGTAATTTTGCTGAATATAACAAATTTTTTTGTTGTTGGTTTGTTTTGTTTTCAGTATCAATAAAAATACGCAAGTAAAGCGGTCATTGCTGCGCTCACTTTAAAAACGTCGGGAATAAGAGGAAGATTTTTTCTTTTTTATAAAAATTTATTTTGTAATTATTTATTTTTCAATTAATAAAAAGAAAAATAGTTTTAAATCCAATATATAGGACATTTACAAGTAATTTATAAATATTTTAATGCCTAAACGAAATTCGAAAAACATTCAAAAGTAATAATTGTTATTTTTACATACATATAAATATACGTACAGTGTTAAACGAGTGTAAACAACGCATGTATATACATACATCCATGTTAAACAGTGAGTGCGTTTTAAAGTTCCTGTGAAAAATTGGAATATATTTATTTATACGTATCTATATACATATATTATATATATATATATATTTGTATATATATATATATATATATACATTTATTATATATATATATATATATATATATGCATATATGAATAGATATATATATATGCTGTAAAAATATATATATATATATACATGTACATAAGCATGAGTGTATGAATACGTATATATGCATTAATATCTTGATACATATGAACCGACCAAATTTTTCTGTGCTAGTGTGAAGCCTACCACTACAACTGTCAGTTACAACCAACCACCGTTTCGAATTGAAGTAAGTTAGTTGGGAAACGAAATACTTCTAATATAAATACAAACTTACATATATATATATATATATGCTTAAGTAAAATAAAGTGCATCATATAATATGTAAAAATATTCATTCAAAAAAGGAAAATTTAATAACAGAGGAACGCACGATTGTCAATAATTGGCCGGGTTTAAGGGGGTTAGTCAATTTGTTTCTGTTTAATATAATTTTTGTTTCTTAATTCTCTTATTGTTTAATAAACAAACTTAAAAATACAAATTGTCTTTAACTCGATAACAAACAACGTGCTCTTTTTATGACAACAGCAACAATAAGAACAACAACAAATAAAAAATAATATATGTTTAGACATAAACAACAACAAGAAGAAACCTTTAAAAAAATTTATATATTTTCATATGCACAAAACAACGAACGTTTATTATTAAAAATAGAAAAATCAATTCCATCCATACACATTTTATAAACGATTGTGAGAAGGGGAGAGAGAGACTGAGAGAACTAATATACGAAATGTACGTGAAATTAATGAAAACGTGAGCAAATCACTTGTTACGAGCCGAAATGAGAACAAGAGAGTGAAAAACGGTAGTTATTTCAAAAGCAAACTCAATTAACGCTATTCAGCTTAATGGTGCCAGGGAAAAAGCTTGCTCTCTCTCTCTCTCTCTCGCTCAGCAAAGAGACCAAAAACAACCTCATTCACAGCCGGTATTATTTATGGCTGAATATATATGAGGGGATATTGCTTTGATGTTGGAGAGAATTCCGTTCAATTTTTATTTGTAGAAATTTAGTTTTTCCCAAGATTTTCAAGATGCTTACGGAAAATGTGTAAAATGTGTAAAAAAATATATGTGCGTTTTCTTGTTGCCGTTTCCTTGCATTATTTTATTTATTTATTTACTTTTTTTTGTTTCGTTTGCGATTGTTCTTAATGTTGTTTTTATTGTTCTTCCTGCTTTAATAATAATGATGTTGATGATGCGTGGTCGTCGTGTGCGTGCTAAGTTTTTTTTTAATTAATGTTTACTCAAAAGCGGGTGTTCCTTCGGTAAATTTAGTTAAACGAAATATTAAAATATAATATAATAAAAAAAATAGTTTTTTCAGACTAACGTGGCGACAAATACAAGTCAAGCACACCCAAAGAGGCGTTAACCTCTGGAAATTGAAAAATACACACATGGCGTACAGGCTTATCTTAATATAATATAATAGACCGTCTGACGACCCCAAATAATAATTGACTAACGACTGACCTCATGTATAATTAACATAGTTGAAAAATGAAGAAAAAAAAAAAAAAGACAGCAACAAAAATAACATAAAATTATCACGTTCGTTAATGTAATGAGCATTAAAGTTAATACACACAAATAGGCATAAATCAAATTTGAATTTAATCATAGAGAACATAAAACATAAAAAACAAACAGGCTAAGAAGTCTGTCGGTCCGGCGATGAGGGTGTCTATGGCCTACTGACGTTTAGGCTTTTTTTGTGAGTAGTGTCACAAATCTCCTCCCCAACTATTATGCTACTATTGTCTCCGTCTTTTCATACATAGGCACACAACACACACATTTGACCACACTATGCATATAAATGTGACAATAACTCGCTGTTTGCTTGTGTCGGCCAGCACATAAATACGCACACACAGAAACAAATATTGGCTCTCTCTCTCTTACTCGCTAGTTTCTCATTTTATCATCAACTTGGATGGTATTGCAAGTAAACTGCTTAAAACTCATTAATGTGCTATGTCATTGTGCGCAGATACAATTCCTTCTTATTTTGTTCCTTTTTTTTTATTTTTCTTTTATATCCCAGAGATTCCTTCAAATTTCAAATGCCAAGAATAACTTCACTTTCAAAGGCTCGTTAACGTTGAACATAAGAGTAGAGTAAAGTAGAGAGTGAGAAAATATCACACATACACAATTAAGCACAGACTGTCAGTCAGATAAGCCAACATGAAAAAAATATATTTTAAACGATACAAATTGAAGCGAGAAGAAGTGAAAAATTTTGTGAATTTTTACAAACTTTCGGTGGAGTGAAACTTTGAATTGATAGTGCGTTTTATATAATTCATCCGTCCCTCTTTAATAATAGGCATTGACGAGAATTGCTTATGCTCTCGTACCAAATTTAACCAGTGTAACGTATAATGAATGATTTTTTTCTTTATTTATTTATTTATATTTGTTTTTTTTTTCTCTTTTCTAATTCTCTACCCCCGAATATTATGTTATTTAAGGAATATGAAATAATCGATGGCCTTAAATATATTAGCTTGTCAAGGAATCATTTTGTCTTATATCGTTACAGTTGAGACACATTGACCGTTTAAACGAGATCAGGAGGGTCAGTTGCACATATTATGGGCTGTGGACAAAGTAAAATTCATCTTTATCCTAGAAAATCGAAAAGCAAAGCAAACGGCAAAAAAGGAGGACACGGTAAGTAATTGTATCGTCAAACACCACCCACCTCTCCATTTAACCGTTTAGTTTATTCTTATTACACATATATATGCATTTTTAATGCTTATATGTATGTATTATATTTAAGCAACCAATACTAATGACAAGAACACCTTATTCAGCCACAGATTTTTCGACGCACATGTGAAAGTATGCATTTGTATAAAAATAAAACTACAGCCATATTAAATAGTCACTCATTGTACGTTTGTTGTTATGATTGTTGTTGCTTTTCTTCAATTGTGCAAAGGATATATATTATCATCTTCACACATATAATATAAAGTACCACCACCTGTTCGTAACGAGCACACTCGCCGCCAATTGACTATGCTACGATAACTGTTTGATTTTTGCTTTGTAGCAGAGATTTTTTATCCTTTGAACGTATATGCGTGGACCGTGCGACAATCAACATGTTACAAAATTATCCTCAGACAGTCTAATAGCAATATCAATAGACCTGAATGTCTACAAGGAAACTAGCTACCTAAACACTAATGCACGCGTGCAACACACTCTCTTCGCCCTTCACATCCGTCTTCCGCTCGCTCTTTCTGACTCTCTTTCTCGGTATTTCCCCCCGCCCCCCCCCGTATTTTCGTTTAAGTTTGAATCAACTCTTTCTATTACTTGCGACAATCTCTATTCGCTTGGCACAATGTGCTTACAAATCTATTGGGGTGTGTAGGCGGGAGGGCGGGTGGCTACGTATGTATGCATGTATATGTAGTTTTATTGTAATTGCTGGTTCATTTGCCTCGTTCCCATTTTCAGCTGTTACGTAGCTCGAAGGACACATTCTATGGAATACACATTAGAGCGAAGGCAATAGAGAAAGAAACAAAGACCAATAACAACAACAATAATAATAACAACAATAGCAAGTATTATATATTCTATAAATGTTTCTATTTCTTGAATTGATTTTATTTTTCACTAATTTGTTTAAAACATTATTGAAGGGAAAAGGATATTGTTCCATTGTTTTCATCGCCGCATCGTAAATACATGGATGGCAAAAAGATAAAAGATATAAGTACGATTTGTCATCAAGTGTTGCAACTAAAGGAACAATTGAATATTGAATTAAGGTCGTGTTGCTTGTTACACTGAGAAATCAATACATCTCTAAATACTTGATATTTTACTTGAAACGATTCAAAAATTTTATATTTTCAGATAATTATATGTATGTACAAACACATGAAGATATATATAACTATATATATATTTAAAAGAATTGAAATTAGGTCGCAACAGCAAAATTATTTTAAATTAATAATCAAAGTAACAAAGGACGATAAACGAAAATACGTACGCAACTAAAGTTAAAGTTAAAGGTCTGGAATAATTTTCAGGTGTCTAATGCGGAAATGGCCCCAAGTTAAGACATCATCATAATTATTTATTACAATATTTATGATAATAAAGTTTCATCACTGGCTAAGTAAATTCTAAGGAAATTCCTAATTTTCTATATATAGATATATAGATAAATCAGCTTTATTTATTTCTTCTGTCTGTCCAACGTCTGAAATGAAACGATTCAAGACCAGTTTTTACGTATACGCCAACGCAAACTGATACATTATTGCTTACGGTGGGGAGAAGAGATTTTGAGCGAAGCGCTTTAATTTATTTACAATGTTGGGAGAATACTTTTAGATTCTTCTAATCGCGCTCACCAACGTTTGCTATATTTACTAATTCGGATAGACACTATCCACGACACGACATACCGCCGATATTTTAAATGCTTAGCAGGGCTATGTTAAAGTCTTAAGAAAATTCTGTTCCATTAATTGATGAATGGATATTCTTTATTAGTTGAATTCGAAGGAAATTCGAATGTCAAATAGAATCATTTCATGCATTATCATGCATCAGATAATGCAAAAGTATTTGTGGGATTACCGTTTAGTTTTCCTCCCCAGTCTGTCAATTTTAGGGATAACACAAGCAGCCACAATTTCATTGAACTGAATCTATTCTTGAGCGACGATTAATATTGTGATGGGGAAATTATTTCGTTTATAGGCCAATTCAAGACTTGAAAAAATCTCGCTCGATGCTGTAAAAAAATTCAATATTATTCGTCATCACTTTCAAAGACTGTCAGTCTTTTCTTCCTAATTAGCACAATGCCGCACCTATTTACTTAAATTCACACAAACACACATGCACAGTTCCGTTTCGCTATTTGATGAATTATATGTATATACATAATGCATAATGAAATTTGTGTACGCCTCCTCGTATTGAGCTAAAGATTTAGAAAGTTTCGTAATAGCTATTTATCTAATTTTCTTCCTCATTCAACTAACTCGTTCAGGTTGCTCTTTTTTCTTATCTATTCTACGGTAATTGGTTTCATTTTTATATAATTGCTCGTCAATTATTTGTTCTTCAGTATCTGTCTGATCGAAATTTTTGCGAAATCTTTTTGTGCCATTACGTGCCTTACAGTTTAGATATAGCCCACGTTTACCGATGAGTTTCGGACACCTTCCAGGTTCAAAGTGATGTTCGCTGAATCGCAAAAGAACAAAAGTCATAAGACTATTTCCACAACGCTCTGCTTAAATTAGAACTGCCTTTGAAGTGCGAAATTGCCAAAAATTGAAGGAAATTATATAACGCAAGAAATTATTTCTCTTCCGGGTTTGAAAGGTCTGTAAAATTAATTTAAAAAAAATAAATAAATAAACAAAGGAGAATTTGAGATCAATAAAATTTTTCTTTAAAATTTAAAGTAAAAAATAACACGACTTTGCATGGAAAACATTTATTCGGAAGATGCATGTTTCCATCTCCCGACGTAGTTATTATTGTTGTTATTTTTGTTTCTATTGCGCAGTGAATGTAATTCAAAGTTATAATATCGGCGTTTGAGCATAGTGATCTTTGTGTAAAAGTGTGTAATGGACTTTCTTCTATGACAAGATCTCGATTCCGACATAAATAAACTAATGGTGGCATTGTCCTTGCAAACGACATATATTGAATTAGTATTATATTGATTCTTGTCCTACTTTTTGCCATTTTCATTGGTTTGTTGGTTGGGGATATAGTTCTATGGAATAAGATTCAGATCCGAATTCTATTTTAGGTGATTCAGATGCCGAAACGGACGAAGATGAAGGACACATTGAGGATGCGGAAAAGTTTCAAACTCGAGAACGCGATAAAAACGAAGAAGCTGAAGATAATAGCAATAAAGATTCGGGGGAATCGGACGATGAAGTATCCGTTTCATTGTTACGAGCAAAAAATCTGTCTTTGCTGCAAAGTCAGTAAGTATCGCATTTAGAACTGACTTAAGAATATTATTTTTTTTTTCTTTTCGATGTCGAATTGATCAAATCAATGTTTCAGGGAAATATCAACTAGTCAACAAAATTTCTTTCGGATGCTAGATAAGAAAATTGAGGAGGTTCGTACTCATAAATTACTGAAAATCTCAAGTGAATATGTTGGTCGTATCAATTTTAGGGACCGGATTACGATTCAAATAGTGAAACTGAAATAGCTTTAGAGGAAGCGCGCCTGAACGCTTTGGTGCAGCATTGGGAATCAGCCAGTTTAACAGCATCGATGTGTTCGTCAGCTAGTCGTTCCTTGCAAACAACGCCTGTACGACAGACGCCGGCTAAACAATTGGCCACATCCAGAACCATGTTACCGACTGGAATACCACCTCAAGTACTCAATGCGGAATTTCTACCTCTAACGAGTACTTCAATAACCGGAAGCCAATTACCCAGTGGTGCTCTGAAATTGGCAACTTCCAATAAATCATTGGTATTGTCACATATGAACTCCGGTATATTGCATCAAATGGCAGCGTTACCACAGATGCCGCTCGGTATGTCGGCTGAAACATCCGCCGCAACTCCAAATATGGCTACTGTTAACGCAAATTCGTCCAATGCCCTCGCTATCCTGCAGGCACCCAATACACCACCAACACAACAATATTTGCTCGCCATTCCAGCTGGTTCATCGCCACTTCTGGGTAAATCCAGTCAAATAAGTCCCAAAAGATTGGTTGATGGCCGCATGTTAATTAATTCCAGTCCGTTAGCACAACAAATGCAACCATCCCCGCCGACTAATCTTATGCAAAATCAATATATCCCCGCTACGCCAAATCTACAAACAGCAACCACTTCGAATTATATGAACGGCGGAAGAGGTCCGCAATCGTCAGCAATGGCCCTACAATTAGCGTATTATGGTCAAGCATCCACTGCCCAACAACAAAATGTGCAACAAGCAATATCACAACAACAGCATCAACAACAATTACTTGAACAAACTCCCCAAAGCCAAAACCAATCGTTATCCTCCTCGACGTTATCAGCGTCAGCTTATTACGGTGAAAATGTGCAAAGTGTTCAGGTAAATTGTAAATGATCGCAATATTGTTGTCGCATCAACTGAAATTACAAATGTATATATATTATAGCCGCCAAGCACTGAGTATCGATTTCCACCTGCCATCAGTGTACAACGTTTGGCACCGCAAGTGCAGCGACAACTGCGCGAAACGCAGGAACTGATAAAAGACTCTTGCCCCCAATTGTATGCGACCGGTTACGGTAGTCCCGGGCTTCCACCGATTCGTAATCAAACAGGAATCACCGGTCGCACCCTCCCAACAAGTCGAAGACCCACCCTGGAGACACAATTCTCGCAGGAACTCTCGTGATATCTACAAAACTGAAATCATAATACATACAAAAACTAACCAATAACAACAAAAGCCAAATTTTAAATGTTAACATTTAATGGAATTAATTAATGAGAAATGTAAAGCCACAGATAAAGAAGATATAAAAAACCTACTTATGAACCAAAGAGATACATTTAGCGAGGTGGTCGATCAAATGCATAACATATACCGCATATACGCTTATCGATTATCGAAGCAATGATTATAAAAGCAAACATATTATGCATACATCAAGGCATACAATAATACTTACATACCATAGGTGGAGGCTTCTGTTAGATGCCAACGATTATATTCACAATACATAGAATCGAATCGTCATCAAATCTCTTTTAGTCTCATTTTAGAAAGTGTATTTAACGTCTCTAGTCGCGCATTCAGAAACAATATCAGCAGTCATCAATAATATAAACACATGCATACAAACCGACGTCATTAACCCAAGAACCCCCGGTTAACATATTAAGGTTAAAAAATAAAAATAGAAAACACCAAAGAAAATATGTAACTACTCTTACATTCTCATGCATATACACGTAGACACATGCATACATACAATACGTACATACCTATAATACTCTATTAGTCCTATTCAACTAAACACTAATTCTAAAGCATTTGTCACGCATTTTACACCGCAATGAATAAGTGAATGAATGGATGGAAGAACGAACGAATGTATAAGCAAAAAGACAGAAAAAAAAAAAAAAAAAAATTAAATAAATAAATAAATAAAAACTAAAAATAAATAAATAAATACGAAAATCATCAAAAATAAATTAATAAATATATATTTACTCAAGTGCATCATCAAATGTTAGATATTTTAAAACAAAAAATAAAACAAAAAAAAAAAAAAGACGCTCATGCACATCCCCATACATACAGTAAATGTATAGTAGAACAACAACAAAAACAACAACAATCATTTATTTATTCATTGTTTTCATCATCACTTTGTGTGCGCGCATGCGTACGTGCATCCGCACAACACACTGCAAATAATAATTCTTAATTCTAATGTCACATCAAACGTACTTGTATTTGTAATTTGAGTAATTTTTATTAATAATTAATATAATTAAATAATGTAGAATACTTATTATTATTATTATTATTATTATTGTGTAATTATTATTATTACATTATAATTAATTAAATGAGAATATATTATATTTAAAAGAAAGGAACGACAAGTAAACCACATAGTATATATACAAAATATACATATTTATTTATTACTTACTCTATTGTGAACAAACGATTGTATTTTAATTTTGATTATATGTATATATATATACATATATATATATATATTCTATGTAAAATAGTTTTTTTATTTTCTGCTTTTTGTTATTTATTTCTTTTTTTTTTTTTTTGGTTTTTCATTTTTTTTGTTCTTCTCTTATATTGAAAACACAAAAACGGAGAAAATATGAATATAAAATAAAAATTGATTACGTTTAGAGCGATAAAAAGGAATTTTATTAGGCGAAAAACAGTGTTTATGTGTCAGTTTGTGAATCAAGTCTTGAATACAATTCCCTCATCATCTTAAAAAATCGATATTAATATGCCCTACAACAACATGCCGTATAAGATATGTTAACTTTGTGCGAAGGAGTTAAAGTTACTTTTTATCATATCGATCGATTCATTTCATCATTTTCTGCATCAATTTAAGATTGTCTCTCAGTTCGCCCCATCTGCCGTTTCTCTATGCATTCTTGTGTCCAATCTATAGATCGTAATTTTCGATATATCTTGATGAAATTTCGTATGCAGACATGTATTAATCTAAGGATGAACGCAAAGCGAAATGAATTGGTTCGGACCACTTTTATCACCATTTCCCATATAAAAACTTATTTTGAAAAAACGACAAAATTTGCTAACACTTGACAAGAATTGCTAAGTAATCATATTTCGCTATATAGAAAATTGATGTGAAAAATTTGGATCGAAATGGGATCATCATTGCCATCTATGGCAAAAAAGTCAAATTATTACTTAATTATGATGATAATTGACACAACAATACATTAATTAGACATCAAAACTAACTGTACAAAAATTGGGAACATGGAACCCTACATGACATACATGACCTCTCATAGAAATTAAGCCTTTATCCGATAAGAGCGTCTAATTTTTGGTATTTTATAAAGAAAAGTATTTAATAGTCGCGGCCTTAACTGACTATGAAACTTTTAACGTGTTTTTTGATATATTGGCCGCTGCTTTCTACTGCTTTCGTCATAGTTCATTTACTTAAATATATGGGACACGACGGATTACCTCATTGTCTTCCTCGGCATAGAAGTAACGAGGGATCAGAGCGTTGGTTCACCATAGTTCTTCAAAGCTCACATATTTTGCCATTGATAACAATAATAGTAATAAAGCGATTTCTCTTTTTCTCTCTGCCTCACTGTAGAGCCATTATATAAGATGACAATTCGATTCTTTTGGCAAAGTCCTGCTCTTCAGTACGTCAGGATCAAAGACAAAGATAATAACGATAATTACGATTTTGAATTCATTTGAACAGACAGGTCGTCTCATCTCCTGTTCGTTGAACATAGCAGCTATGGTCAATTAATTGTGTACACGTCAGTTGATCCATCAGCATTACTTTTATTAAATTTCCACGTTAATGTCTTATATAAAATGTACTACTACACGGGTTATTGTGGAGGAATGATCGCGTCCAAGTATATATTTTCTTTAAAGCGTCCGATCCCAATATCCGCAATTAATTGTAGGCTAATTTTTTTTCCTAATTCTTTTTTTTTTATTCTTGATAGCATCTATATATCTAAAATTTTACAAAAGTAGGCATTCTGTTAGAAGACGTCGTATGAGTGCGGGCAGATTTAGTGAAGGACAAGTCTACTTTGTTTACGTTCGTCAGCGCTGTAAGTTGCGCTGACTGCGTGTTATGAGTGAAAATGGATGTGAGTCTATGACAATTCAATATCGTATATGTTAACCTAAAACTTGACAAAGCCATCTCCCAAGGTTTGTCAATCCAACTATTACTAGCGACTGAACTGAATTCTTACTATTAATAACAGCATTAGGTCACTTACGGAAAATCATCATCACAATGCATTTTATCTAAGATTGAAAAGTCTTCTCCTACACTGTATAACTTTCTCTACTGTAATCAGAAACAAAATGGTCTGGAGCTTTTATTCCAAAGAAAAAAAAAATTATTTTTATTTAAAATGGAATTCAAAGATTAAATACTAATATAGCAAAATTATTAATTAATATTATCTGGATGTTTATTGAAACATCTATAGTATAATGGAATAATAAGAAATATATGTAATTTACGTAAGTTTTCAGTTTTGCTCTGTTTAACGACAATGTGTAATTAGGTTCGTCTGGTGATTGTTAATGTATTTTGTGTTACCGCAATACATATTTTAATGATAGGAAAAACAAAAGCGTAAATAACTGAAGTAAATTCAATAATTTATAAGAAAGTTAAGAGAGATAAAAATAATACTACGTCTAAATTTACTGCTTTTTGAGATAATTAATGCGTTAATAAAGCCTCTCTTTTGAATTTGTGTGACGGAATTTAATTTTGAACTGGTAAAGGTGGTGGAGGATAAGCGTACATGTCATTGGTTCCAGCGGCCGAAACGGAAGCAGAGGGAACGGCATACGATGATGTTGATGAGTGAGTATTATAAGGATAGGGAGCCGGTTGATTAAAACGAGACTTCTTGTGATTATCAAGGGAATTACCAGCGACATTATCATAGGAATTTGGAGCAGACGAAGAGAAACGAGACAATTGACCATTTGCACGTGCCATGGCGTGTGGGGCGTTTGTGCTATGATATCTACCACCGTTTTGAGATGGATATTGCTGTTGGTGTGGTTGTGCAGCATAATTTCCATAAGTAGCTCTTGGCTGTTGTTGTTGCTGACGATTATTATAATTTCCGTTCGAATTTGACTGATTTCCATGAGAATACTTTTGATAGCCAGCGGAATTGTTGGAACGGCCTCCGTTACCACGTTTTGAATGCGATGCCATGTCCACTAAACGTGGATTTATAACCTAAGTGAATAAAAATAATTTTTTATGTGCAAGAAAATTTTATCATCACCGTGTCTCGCTAACTACACACTTACCTGTTTAGCTTCTCTTAGAACTTGTATCAAATCATTGGCTTTGTTAGCGTTGGCCGTAGTAAAAAGCGTGTATGCCGTTCCCGTATTATTCGAGCGTCCAGTACGCCCAATCCGATGTACATAGTCCTCAGAATTGGATGGATAATCATAGTTGATGACAAATTTCACATCATCGACATCTGTGTTTGCGTCGTATGCACACACAGTAGTCATACATAGCGACAAATTTTGATTGATTGCATTTACATTATGGGCGAGGAGGAATAGAAATTAATTACGTTAAAACCGAGAAGAAAACTTCTATAGACATATGTAAAACAACTGCGTTTACTACTTAATACCTTTACATAATACTTAGTGTGCGTGTATATATATAAATATATGTATATACATACATATATGTATGTGTTTGATTGTTTAACAGAATAATTGGAACAAAAATTTATTCATCCACATCAAAATATAAAATTTGTGTTTTAAGTTTTTTTTTTTTTCATTTTTCTTCTTTTTTTTTGTAATATTTTTAAAGCACAAGTAGTGGACCTCGACCTTTACAAAGATGTACATAAATGAATTCATAATAAAGAGACCAATTTTAATGATAGCAACAACAACGTTGAACAACGGATGCCTTCAGTTGCTTTTGTGTTATTGTTGTTGTTTCCATATAATTTTTTTTTCTTTTGAATTTCAATTTAGAAACTTAAACATAAAAAATCTCTTAAAGCTTATTTGATTTAAAATTTAGATTAATCACATCAACATTGTTGTGTTCGAATTGTTGATAATTTATTTAAAGTACTTACCCAGCTCCGAAGGGCTAAAAATAGAACTAATTTTAAAACTGTAAAAATAGAATATCTTCTCTTTTCTTGTGTCTGTTACTAGAGGAAATAATCTAAAAACTAAATAAATAAAGCAGTAGGCTGTTGCCAGCAATTGGGAATAGACACAGAGAAAGTTTTCGCTTCCGAGATTAGGCAAAAGCATAAAAAAAAACAAAAAACTAAACGAAAAACTAAACTGAAATATGACAAAAAAAATCGAAGTCCATTTCATAATATAATGATGAGATATTATTTTTGTTCACATACCAAATACAATAAGAAATTGTTTTCCTAATCCTCTTAGAAAATCAGGAAATATACGTACGTATATAAATCAAGAGTAAGAAAATCAAATTCAGAAGCCAGTCAAAAACGTGTAAGGGCCACTATTTTAACAAAAAAAAAAAAAAAAAAAAAAAAAATTCCAACAAAAAGACAAAAAAAAAAAAAAAATCCCGCTTGACAAAGACACCAATTGAATGGCAACCAAAATCCACAGGAAGCAGACAGGACCAGAACAAGAGAAGACTAAAAATTTTCGCGCAAACAAAATTCGCTTTATAAGCATTTGATGCATAGACATATCGCATAACCTTTACTTTCTTAGGCTGCCTTGACTGACCGTCTAAAAAGGTGATGTTGCATATCAACATTACTACGTATAGAACATCAACAATAATAATGCATAAAATACGACATACAATAGTTAACCAGCAATGGTCAATGGAAAAAATTATTCTCCTCATTATTTAACCCACACCATACAACCTAAACAAAAGTTATTATTATAAGTAGCAGATGAAAAACGAGACTGTTCTTCTCCAAAGGAAAAGAACGGGCTTATCTATGTTATTGCGCAATACGAACGAATTCGATCTCCTCCTTCCCTCACTCAAATGGTGGTGGTGGCGGAGAGAATTTTTTCTTCTTACGGAAAAACAAAAAGAAAGAAATTACACGAAGATCTCTCGCGGTGGCAGGTGTTGGGTTTCGATTCATCCTGTAAAATACAGACACGAATCAAATATAAAATAATGAAAGAATTCCTTTATAGCATTTCATCCACACCATCACTCGCCCGCCATCATATTCAAGAAAACAGTGTTTGCAACACAACAAGCTAGTGGCTCATGTCAATCATTAACAAAAATCTTACCTAGTCCTCTAGCGGCCACATCAGTAGCCACGAGGATCGAACTGCGGCCATTGCGGAACGAAGTCAATACATAATCACGCTCTTGTTGAGACTTATCACCATGTATAGCACAGGCTCGCCAGCCCTGACGTGAGATTGAACGCGTTATTTCATCAACACGTTTTTTGGTTTCCACAAATATAATTGTTTTGGTATCTTTTTCAGAAGATATTTCTCCCAACAATTTGTTCAACTTATTGGTCTTTTCAGCCTCTTCGCACACATCAACAATTTGCAAAATGTTATGATTAGCAGACAACGTCAGTGAGCCTATATTGATTTGTATGTAGTTATCAAGAAACTCTTCAGCCAAATTGCGCACTTCTTTTGGCCAGGTGGCAGACCACATTAGCACTTGGCGATCGGGTCTGATTTGCTTAATAATCTTACGTATTTGAGGCTCGAAGCCCATATCAAGCATACGATCGGCTTCAGCCAATACCAAATATGTACAACGTCGTAAATTAGTTACGCCACGCTCCAGAAAATCAATCAATCGACCAGGAGTAGCTATAACGATCTCGACTCCTCGCTCCAAATCCCGCGATTGGGGTTGCTTAGGAGCGCCTCCAAAAATGCATGTATTACGCACTTGAATTTGGGAGCCGAATTCGTTGGCTACTTGCTGGATTTGCTGAGCTAGTTCACGTGTGGGTGCTAGAATCAAAGCGATTGGACCGTCGCTATGCTCCAAACGTGGTTGATTATTAATATGAACCACGGCTGGCAACACATAGGCTAAGGTTTTACCCGAACCAGTTTGAGCCACACCCACCATGTCTCTCCCACTAAGAGCGATTGGCCAACCTTGCGCTTGTATAGCAGTGGGCTTAGCAAAGCCCAACTTCTTAATACCAGTCATCACATAGTCGGGAAAACCACCCTCGTTAAATTCAAAACTAGGCATTGGAATGCTACTGCCCTTTAAAGTAATTTCATTGTTAGTTAGAAAGTTGTCCACGTCCGATTGCGAGCGATCTTTAACACTGGCACAAGGAGTATAGAAATTCTTTTTGAAGGGAGTCAAACTAATTTCTGACCAAATAATATTAGGCGTGTCGTCATTTCTAAGGGAATTAGAGTCATACGACTGACGTTCATTATCCCGACGATGATCCATCTGGGGTCGAGAATATGGAGTAGCTCTCTGATGAGACATATTATGGCCACGAACAGGACCTCCACGGCCGCTGCCACCGCCGCCGTGCTGTTGACGGTCACGAAAGCCTCCACGATTCATTGAGCGATTATCCCCACGATTGTCAAACCTAAAACAGAATTGAAAAAAAATCTATATCAAATAAAAGCGACAAATAGGGCAGCACAGTTGTACGAAATCACTAACTGTATTGTATTTATCACAGTTTTCGAGCAAATTGAACTTTTGGAAAACGTTGCCTGCGACATATGACAAGGGCAATGAAAATTTAATCTGACTTTGCCTACTGACATACACTTTTAGATTATTTGAAGACGAGAGCATATTTTACAAAGGTCTCATTTTCTGACAGTAATTGGTTCGCTTTGAGAGTTTCGCTATACAAAAAAATATTCATATAATCTTTGGAAATTGAATGCCTTTTGTTGTTAGCTTTTTTTTTTTTATCGTTCCTTTCAGATTTGAAATTTCTTCCTCAAACACCAGAAGTAATCGTTAATATTATATTTAGAGATAACATTTTAATATAATACGGAATTTATTTTTCTACGAAAGGTTTTAACTTTTGGTGCAATTTTGCCCAACTGATACTATAGAAGCTACTGCAGCTTCATAGTGCAAGACTCGGGGCTTTTGTTAATAAAAGTTTATGACAAGCAAACAAAAAAACTATGATGTTTAAAGAAGAACATGCTATATTTGGATGAACCAATTCTTCCGATTTCTTCGTACATTAGCCTGTGTGTGTATGTAGATGTCTGGTATGAGTGACGCATCAAATTTTATAAGTATCGATTTTTCGCTTATAAGTTTTCTGTCCGACATTTTGTTTTTTAAATTTCATGTAAAGGTTGTAAAAAAAAACTACGTTTTGCCTTCGAGTTTACAGCAACTTTTAGTTATTCTTTGCTATCATTACTTAAATATACGACTACTTACATTTTTTAATATATTTAAAGATTTTTAAATAGTTTTAGTATTTTTAATAGTATTTTTTCTGCTTGAGCACAAAATTTTCACCAACTCTTACGTATGAAAAATTCCTGTATAATAAAATTCCATTTTCACAGAGATGCCATGTTAACTCAAAAAATGAATAATTCACAAAAAGTGTCTATCATTTGTTTCATCTTCTTCTACTTTTTAAAAATGCTATAATATTGACTTAAATTCTATTCACAATTTCTTAAAAGAGTTATTTATTTCAAGAAAAAATGAGTTGATTGCTTAAAAATGCTAAGAATAAAAAAATTGAAGACTGGAAAAACTTTATATGTGGATAAATCTTAATATAACACCTTACCTTAGATATCAATTTTGCATAGACAATATTTTAATTTGACAAATTTAGTCAAGTAGCTCTCATATCAAAGGCGTACCCTGAGAACCATTTGTGTGAGAGTTATTTTGGCTTGCAGCGATCCAATCATCGAACGATTTTCGCACTTCTCCAAGTTTGTGAAGCCGCATGCTAGTGATGCCATGCTGCATCGATCTAAATAAGTGCTATTCAAAAGCCATCAAGTATGTTGAGTACGCTGGATGCAGCAAAGCTGCCTATTCAAGCTGCAATAATGTATTCTTAGCAATTTTTGCAACAAGTGGCCACAATGGCATTTTCAGTCAATTCCTGTGGTAGCCATTGTAGCCGCTATTACTGGTCTTTTTTGCAACAGTATGTCGCTCAATGTATTCAATTGACGTGGATAGACATCTGCAAAAACATCCGATTTCATTCAGTTTTAGTAGCTCGTAAGACACTACACATTGCTGATCCCACCATATGCGCAGCAAAACCTTATGGCCATGAATATTCCGTTTCGGTGTCGATGTGGGCGGTTTTCCTAAACTAACTCATGATTTTTTGCGCTTGGGATTGTCGTAGTGGACCCACTTCCATTTTCAGTATGGTATTCGTATGGTCGCTGTTCTATTAAATTACATAATCGATTTTGAAATATATAAAAGCCTAACTTATATTTTTGAAAAATGGAATTTTTACTAACCTTTATATATCTCGAAGTTGATGATACACAATTGATTGCAAGCTTTTTGAAGAGAAGAATTAATTTACTTACCTTGTACAAATTTTTTTTTGGATGTCATGTTAAAAGGTTTGTAGCTTATACGTCCAGGTAATAAAATGTAATCATTATTTGCAAGAAACATATATGAAAAACCATAAAAAGATTGCGGCCGTGATACACTAGAGCCGATTAAGTTACGGGTAATTGTAGATTCTTGAGTGGTTCAAAGTGATGTAGGAATAGTGCTGCAAACTTTGGCTGAAAAAGAAAAATATTTTAGAGATAAATTCTGATTGAACGTAAAAAAAAAAACAAAACAAAAAAAATTATCGCCAATTAAAAAGAAAAATTCGCTTTTCTAATGAAGCAAGTGAGTTCCCCAAAATGACACACGTTTTTTGCTGCAAAGCGATTGGGAAAGGGAGTCCACTATATAATCTGAAAAGAACGAAAGATCTTCTAATACCGTCTAGCCTGTGACATCTGAAAATTAGATGTCCAACAGACTCGCTAATATTACAAACCTCACAAACATAACATAACATGGTAGAGCACCAAATTTTTTTTAAACACACTTTATCATAAGAGTGGCCACTCATTAGTCCATAAAGAATTTTGATTTCCCAGGTATTAAAAGAAGCCTCTGATAAGGGTTTAAAGTTAAATGTGGAATTTATTTTGTAGAAAAGGCGATTGAACTTGGCACGCGGAATCTTTTTAAGTTCATCATTTAGTTATGGAAAGGTTGAGCGGATTACAAATTCCCCCTTTTGTTTCATTGGAAGTATTTTCGATGAACGAAATTGTCCCATCCAATTGATCTCTTTTTGAATGAAATTAAGCTTTTTCATTAAAAATAAACCGTAGTGACCATGTATCCAGTCCAGATGACAGTCATCCACTTGAGGTTCATATAACATCCTGTATATGTCAAATACATATTGATTATCTGCATACGTTTTCTTTATTACAAGCAGAGCTGACTTACTATAAGAAAAAACGACAAATTTTTTATGACCATTCATAATAGCCACCTTAACAGCATGTCTCATGGCAAGCAATTCACTAAAAGTGGAGGAAAGTTCCCTCGTGATTTTGACTTAAAGCACTGTTTTAGATAGATGCTTCACCGAGAAGCCAGATGCAGTATGTCCGACGGAACTGTCAGTCGCATATATATCGTAGCCGTTGTTGTAATACAGAAGAAGTTTTTCTTAACATGAGATCATCATACAAGATAGATTGACAGTTTGCTTCGTCGATTCATTGTCTTGATGGTAATTAACTCCTTAGCACACCAAAAAAGAGCTTTTTTGCCAGACCATTCACCAAAAATGACCTTGAGAATATATTGAAATGTTGAGGGGATAAGTCGAATACAACGTTTTAACATTCTATTTTCCAACATTTGAATACGTCTCTCAATATATTTTCGAAAATTGCAGGATGTATGTATGCATGTGCAAATTCGATCTTAGATCTGGCGAATGCTTTGTACACTGTCAAAGCTTTTTTGGGAGGCAATTCTGATCGATTGTTAGTCATTCAATAATAAATATAAGATTTCATAAACAACGGCTGCTATTTGAACTCATTGTACTCTACTATTCGCAGTTTGTCCGGTTTCGTTAAACTATTAAAAATGCTGACTGTAGATAATTGGTCAACCTATAGGTTTCCCACGGTGTAAAATCCACACATCACATTAGTCAGTTCCTGTTTGGCATCGATCAAAAACACTAGTTTTTTGAATTCTAGTCCAAGTAAAACATAAATAAAACTAAACGTGTCTAATAAAAAAGCATATTAAAATCAACTCAAACATTTTAATTTATTTAATTTATAATATATTCTTTTTTACAGATTTTCCATAAAACTGAACGTTAACAATTCTGTTATAATATATTGATAGTAATTAATTCATATCATTATATTAAGTTTTCTCTTCCATTCTTGTACGCGAAATACTTTTCTCTTTTATGCTCATATATGAATAAATAAAAGGAAGATCCAGTATATTAAAAGTTATATTTTTTCGGTATTTATTTAATTTTTATGTAAATTTTTGTGCGAGGTACAAGTTTAAAAATTATTCATATTTTTAAGATTGTTGTTTATAAATTTCGTGCCAGCAATTTTAAAACTTCTTCATCCAACTGCATCAATTGTGGTGCATCCACATACACATCAACACCATCATCTTGATAGGTCGCCTGAAAAATTCAAATGATATCCTCCCTCTTTTTAGTGGGCGCAAATGTTATGCAGTGTCGCACAAACGTTTCCGGATCTTCGCTCGATTTCGCTTGCGCTTCCATAATGAACACTTCACCTAACCAGTACACGAATATTCAAAGCATTTCGATGCAGCAATAAGTATACTAATAGGGCGAAAATTTCTGGAGAGTGGAGTTCTCGATAAGGGTTATAATCGCTATTTTCCAAGTGTCCGGAATTGTATATGTTATCATTACATGATTCAGTAAATGAGTCAATGATAAAATAAAAATAAAACAGTTTTAAAAACTTAATACTGAATAAATCGTGGGTGACAGTGTCAGGCACTATACAATGCATGGCTTGCCATACCTGGTCTCTTAATGTCTCTTAATTTTTATGTATGCCGTGTCACTTTAGCACGTATTCGTTTAATCCATAGGAGCTAAGATCACACAGTGGTTGACTCTTTTTCTATACATTTTTCCATAGTACTTTGGATGGAATATGGATGCCTAGCTTTATCTTTAGTATAGTTTTATATCAGTTGTAATAGTTACAGCTTATATCTACATTTTCAGAAAACTTCTCAATTGATCGAATTGTGGCAAATTTTCCTACTTTTATATGCCCCGTTGCTTGCTTGAGGTCTAATTGGCCCTTCAACATCAGTTTTATAGTAAAGCGATTTTAAAAAATTAACGATATACGTCTTTATTGGGTCATGGTCGTTGAACATTATACCAGCAGATTTTGAGAAAGGCGTTACTAACCATTGTGGTGCTTTATATCAGTAGTGCTAAAAGATAGTCGGTGTTGCAATTTAATTTTATGTTAAAGGCAAGAAAAAACATTTCACGGTTAAATAGTCTCCACAATAAGAATTGATCATATGAAAAGCAAAAGAACTTAGAACTAAGTTGCAAATCAACATTAAAGTCACTACGCAATATGAAATCTTCATGGGAAAGAGAGAGCACATCCTTCGCTTGTATGACTACTGTATAAGATCTCGTCTATTTGGCTACGCCTCTGTTATACTTGACAAATAAACCAAGTTTCAAATTCAATTTTACATACATTTAGGTCGCAGATATATATATATATGCATATATGCAGATATATATATATATGCATATATGCATATATATGCCTTTGCGATATTTATAAGACGTATTTTAGCATATACATATGCTAAAAGATATATATATTACATTGGAAATTTTTATACATTTCGGATTTACATTTCTATTCACATCAGCGTTGAAGCTCTCAGTTTTCTGCTTGCTTTTTGGGGCAGTAATTAAGGCTATAACTCGATTAGTTAAAGGGATCTCTTTGAAGGAAGACTGTTTTGAATGCCCTTTGCCATGAAGTTTCTCAATCATTTCATATTTTCAAATTATCCATAACTTAACATATTTGTTTTTGGGCAGCAGTGTCTGTAATGAATAATTTATTTCTGATAAAGCTTATAGACATTTGACATTCTCCTTTCTTTTTTTACACTGTACGCAGTGATAGTAAGAAGTAGGGCGAATTTCTTCCAAATTCTAGCCCAAGGAAATAACAAATGACACAGTGTTCGTTTTTATTATCTATGGGCTCTCATCTTGCACGTACATAATAAATATTAGGTTTCACAGGGTTGGTACTGTTAGAGTTACTGGATTCTGAAACGATCTGTGGAAAACACGCCACTAAGTTCTCCTTGGATGCATTCTTTAGATAATTTAGTTTTTTTTTCAGATATGGATAATTTATTTTAAAAATTAATTTCGCTATGAAAATTCAAAAATGAGGTATGATGTTAAATATATCTTACGAATTTTAAACATTCATATTTCGTAATTCATGTGTAAATATTATATGCATTCCAATTCATTTTTGTCCTTTGTATTTTGTTTTTACGTTACGGTCTTTAATACGTTTCATTTCCGTGTCTCGCAAACAAAATATCGCTTAAATGTATTATGCAGCACAATGATTACTCAGCTGTTAACTGTGGATAGTTTGTTATTCATACGCAAGTAAGCAATTGAAATATTACCGATTTTTTGTACTGAGTTATGTATTATAACTGAATAGCACTAAAAATGAATATGAGCAGTTTGGACAGTAGCTTGCAAGCCCACTCCAAATTGGAAAAGGTACCTCCATCTGTTATTATCTTTCGTATATGGCAGACATATGGTTCATGTTTAAACATTGTTTGTTGACATTGTTAATCCAATCAATAGGAAACATCCAACTCTGTGTTACTTAAAGAAAGAGTCGAAAAATATCATGATTTATCTACACAAATGTCTGAAATACTTAAAGTATTCGAACAACGCTTGGGGAAATTGGAGCAAAGCATATTGCCTGTCTATCAAGAAACTGAGCAGTTACAAAAACGACAACAAAGTTGGTGAAGTCATCAAAAATACCATATAAAGAATGAAAAGTTCAATTTTTTTTATAGATTTGGAAGCAACTTTGAACTGTTTGGAAACCGTTTTAGCTCATTATGATGTGTCACAGGAGGTATGTAATTTGGTACATCAAGGTCCTACTGAAGGTAACGTTGGCGTTTTCTTGGAAGCTTTGGGCCGTTTACGTTCAGCTATGGAGTATTTTCTCCATCACAATTCCCAAAGTGTGGAATTGGAAAACGTCACAAGTCTTTTCAATACCGGCTGCGAAAGCCTCAATAATCACTACAGGATGCTTTTAAAAAAGAATGGCAGTGCTCTTAAGCCGGTAGAATTGCTAGATCTAATTTATATTGAAGATGATTCGTCTAGTGATGAGTTTACCTCATTTCGTCAATTATCTCAAAGTACTCGTGAGGAATTGTTTACTATCTCCCACTGGCTGGAACAGAATTTGAGATTTGAATATACTATGATTTATTCTACAGAGAGAGGGGAAGTAGTTCTACGTTCATTACAACACTTAAAAGACCATCAAAAAAGTAATAGTTGGGGCAACGAAGCATTGGTGAGTACGTGCCTGACTTGCAAAGAGCGTTTCAGTAAATGTTCGTCCGTAATATAGTTAGTACTAAAACTTATTTATGTAATAATAGAAGAGAATTGTAGTAG